CCTGGAAGCGAAAACAGCAAAACAACTTAAACTCAAGTAAAACTTAGCAACCTGTTCCTCATGGTACTGACGCAATCGAACGGTAGTATGGGTTAGTCGTCGTCCGGGTTACCAAGAGCTGCATAGGTCGCTGGGGAAATGAGGCAGACTGCGAAAAACCAGCGATCAGAACCTGCTTCTCGCCTTCTGGCAATCTGGGCCGTAGCATCATTGCTGCAACTGCCGAAGGTCGACAACAAGACGACTATTGATACCAGTCAGCAACGGAGCCTACATTAATTGTGAAAAGAGGAAACACAGCGAAATGATAAAATAGCACGTATGACAAGGTTCTACGGAAACGACACCGATAATGGAAGTTCACAGCCGAAAGTCAGAACATCTTCTCATTCAGAGTAAAAGAACAGAAACTAGTTAATGAACCCGCAAAGTATTGATCAGACACGGTTGGACTCTCGTCAACAAAGCGTCACAGCAATGGAATTTCGAACCACTGCGGGAGAAAGCTATTTTCCAAAACTGTCGACCTCACGACAAGCGATCACGACCGTGTCGGTGCTTTAATAGAACTCAACCTGGTTGACAGAATCACTGAATGAAAGTATGCTAGCGGAATAGTAGCAACCCTCCGACTGAACTTAACAACATGCGAAAGCTCTTACCATGTAACAGATATATGCAAAGGGAAAATGCAAAGAGAATTTTAGTCCTTCCTGGAGGAAGTAGAAGGTCATCTGTACGAAGGACCAACTATAGAATCCACCATTTAAATGCGCGATATGAAAGCCCATGTCAGAGCAGGCACTGAAAGTAGAAAGATGTGATTTAGAAAATGGCCCTGACGATCTGAACAGTAATAGCATGAACTTTGTGTGGTTTTGAGCAAGCAACAGACTCTCTGCTATAAACATCTTCTTGAAGCATCGAAGTGTGCATCAGTAAATATAGCATAGAGAAACTTGTGCACAGAATTGGTGATCGATTTGATAATCGTATCGTCTGACTTACGACACTCTGTAATGGATGCTAGCATTAAGAGTGGCATATAGCTGTCAACCGATCACCACCTTGTTGTTGGCAAGCTACGTTCTAAGAAATGGTGTACCATGTGACGATCTGGTGACAGTAGCAACCAGAGAATCAAACGGGAAACATTATTTCGACGAATGCGAGAGCGTAACTTGCAAACAACATCGCACGACGGTTTGAAAAGATCTGGGCTATAACCGCTGATATGGACACAGAGTAAGAGCTCAGTAGGAACGGTATACTTTAGGCTGATGCCGAAGGCTGCGAATCAGAACGAGTTGGCCTGCCGCCTGGAGGTCAGAAAAGAATTTCCTAGTGGACACGCGAAGTACGACTGGTAGCTAAAGAGAAAAAGGCGCATTCAAGAATTCACCTTTTACTCGCATGCGATATGTAGAAGTGCGCAAAGCGGCAGCGAAAGCAGTCACGAAAGCCAAAGTTAATTCCTGGGAGAAGTTCGG